CAGCAGCGCGGCCCGGAAAGCGCAACAAGCGTAATAAATGTGCAGCCAAAAAGTATGCAATAAATTTCGAAACAATCAACTTTGATGCATGTAGGTGAACACGTACACAGACACATATAAATGCTAAAGCACAAAAAAGGGAGGACTTTTGCACAGTGAGGCAAAATAAAAGCGCACTGCAATCATCAACACAGCAATAGCCGCAGCAAGAGCAGGAGCAGGAGCAGCAGCAGCAGACGTCATCATTTTTAGTTGTTTCGCTTTTTTATGATTATTTTTATTTGTATTTTATTTGTTACCTATTGTACGACACACGAGTAGTGGAACAATTTTGCAACATTTAGCGCGGCTCGACATTCCCACAATTTATATACAGATACTTGCTAGGCGCAGGGCGACAGTGGCGACGGGGAAAGGGCAGAGAATGGGCGTGACTGTAGGGGAGGGACAAAGGCAACACGAGTCATTAAAATGATTCACTCAACTGTATTTAGGATGTGTGGCTGTGGGTGTGGGTGTGGACGTGGGCGTGCGCCACGCCTGGTATTGTTGCATTTCCTTTCGCTGTGGTTGATTTTCCATTTCGCTGTTTGTTTTTACGCGTTTTTTGGCAGCGGAGCAAGGGGCAAGGCATGTAGCACATTTTCATTAGTTGGCGAACAACAATGCAGGCAACAAACATTCATCTAGTCAAATAAAAGTGCAAAATCAGGAGCAATGAATACTTTATTTGCATTAGAAACATTCCAACATTTTCCACTATTTTCAGTTTATTAAAAAAAAAATACAAAATATGGAAAAGGAAAAATCACATTTATAGTTGACATTTCAAATCGTGAAACTATTTGTCGAATTCAATGAATTTTATTTACATTCTCTAACCCTTTAAAGTTTTATACTATCTTTAATTTTACAATAGTTAATATTTTATCAAATAAAGTAATAATAATACTGATTTGTGACATATAGTTAGTTGGTACTTCAATTTAGTATCCATCTAACAGTTTAACTACATTGAATATTCAGAACTACTAAATACCACACCGCATTTTAGATTTTTGTTATAGCTCATGCTAAATGACTGGGTATTTATATTCTGGCATCTCTCTAATCCCTGATTTGCCATCCATATAAACACACAGCATATTATCCAAATTCGTAAAATCTGTAAGAAAGAAGTCCAGTACGGATAACTGTCCTACCTGGTCTTAGCCAATGGTGGTGTTGCATTTAATGTCGAGCAACATATGCTTAAACAATCGCTCGATCTCGCTCGCACTCTCAATCATCGCCATGTGTCAAATTCAGTGCTACATTCTCTATCAAGCAACTGTTCTTTAAACAGTTATAGTTTACAATGTAAATCAATTAAAAATGTTAAATGTTCACCGCTAATTAATGAGTATATCTAAAGATGTCTATTCAAAATAACATTATTTAAGGAAATAAATTATATTTACCATTGACTGCGCACTCGCGGCGGCATTAAAATCAATCAAGCAATCTTTTTCAAACCAGAAAAATTACAAAAGTTAAACTTGCGTTAAATAAAGCTTGATTCATTTACTTATTTATATTTGTATGAATTTTCGTTTATATAATGAAAAATGTATGTTTACACATACATATATGTTGTATATGCAATGCGCAATTGAATTATTTATTCTACAGTTTACCATATTTTTTTTACAACTGTCCTAAGCCAAGAGGTTAAATGTGAGCCGAAATCGAGAGGGCATCAAATGTATTTGAGATATTAAGAATATTGAACGACTTCCACCGACTTGTCTTTGTTGGATGATAGAGATTTATTTAATGGCTTCACCGCACATTCTAGGGTAACACCTATTCGGTCAATGCCATTCACAGCACCTTCGCATAAAAAGTATGAAAAACTGTTATTAAAAAAAGAAGAGGTTGCTATAAAATCTGGTCGCACTACATGAAGCACCGCGACAATTTTTACCGCATAAAAATTCGCTCTATAAATAATGAAACGATTAAAATCTGCGAATATTTCACACACAAATAAAATATTTGATATACATGCATGTGGAAATATGGCTATGTGGAAATGTGGAAATCTGTTCAAATGAATTGTTTTCATATATCATGCATATTTCATGCTCGCATTTCGCATAAATATCTCTCAAATTGACTCGCAAATAAATTCGTATTGGAAAATAACCGAAACTAAGACGGGAGATTAATCGGTGGCCGAGGCCAGCACGCAAATTGAATCGCGCTATAAGCTCAGCAAAGTCGTTTTGTGAAGAGTAGATCATTTGAATACATCAAATTGATATTTTCAATTCAAAAGCCAAGCACTTACCTTCTGCATTTATGCATAACAAACTGTTGAGTGGGAGTTTTATTCAATGTGTCTCGAAATTAGCTTGTTTGGCGTGCGGATTCGCCCTGTTTATTGGTCATATAAATATAATGCGAGGGTCTTCCCGCACCGAGTTTATGGCGCTTTATATGTGTCATTCGTATTAGCTTAATATGCCGGAAAAGTGCGCTCGATATTTAATAGACCCCCATGGCAGATTGCACTGTCATAACTTTTATGCGGCCTTTAAAATCATATACATATAAAAAAAAATTGTGTTAATTTTCATGTGTTGCTGCCTGTCCCTGCCCCTGTCCCACTCTCTCTCCTCATTTCCCATAAAAAGGTAAATTTTGGCCATTTTATGGCTACAATGAGTATCATGTGGGTTCGCCCGTTAAAATAAAGGGAAATTATGGCCCGCACGTTGACTCTCAAATTTATATTATAAATCTAAGATCTAAGCACTTCTAACACATGCCTTTCCTTTTGGCTACAAATCATTAAAGCTTTTTGCTTACCTTCTTATTACTTATAGAAGTTGTACTTAAATGATGAGTTAGCCGGAATTTATGGCTTGGGTACACTAAAAACATTCATCAATTTCTATCGCCTCAAAGAGTTTCTACTTCTAGCAATGTTGCTGTATCTATTTTTGGTATACCAAACTGTCGAAAGGACCATCTTGAAACGGCGTCAAGACAGCCATTTATATTTCAAACAGCTATTGAGATTATGTATTTGAAATGAAAATGTAGTCTTGATTAGTATCAATATGAAACTGAAATGCATTAAAAATATTTGTATACATTGTATAAAAAAATTTATTAAATACTTGAAAAATGTTTGTAAATATTGATTTATGAAATATAGAATTCTAAATTCTAAGAATGTTCGGGGGTCAGTCTGTTACTCCGCGAAAATTCTCTAGAGTCTAACGCGATTATTTTTTGAAATAATCGCCAATAGAAGCAGAACTATCGATGATGGTGTATTATTTGATATATCGTGCTATCACTACTTGCTTTACACTGAACTTAAGACTTTCTCAAACCACGTCTATATCGGATTCCAACTTTCTTTTGGAATGTCTTTAGCATCGATTTGTGGTCCATTCAATCAGTGATCAACTATTTTGGCCAAGAGTAAACATATTTATTATTTTATTGAGCTTAAGAAGCAAAACAAAAGTACTAAAAGTAAGTTAAATTAATTAGGGAACCGATTAGTGGCATCCGCACTCCTTGGCAACCGTCTTTTGATACTTGGTCAAGTCTATAATATCCTCGTTGATGTATCGCAGGATGGTGATGGCGCCCAGAGCAGTGGGCACACAGCAGGGCTTGGGTAGATGCGGCTGCTTGAGATGCATCAGAGTCTGAACAATCGCGTGATTCGTGGCATTCATTTTGGTGCCCAGCGGAAAATTACAGCCGCCGCCGCAGAAGTACGCCTCGAACTTCTTGGGCGCAATGACCCAGTTGTGCATTTGCAGCTCCTTGAAGTCCACCGTGAAATTGAGACGCTCGCAGGACTGTGGCGGCTTGTAGAGGTCAGCTGGAGGGGGCGGGCGTGGCTGGGATGCCTTCCGCTTCTGTAGATCCCGCTTGAAGCGCAGTTTTTGCACTTTCACCAGCAGCTCGGGTCCTTTAAAGTAGCCCACAATGAAGGGCTGCAGATTGGACTGTATGTCCTGCGGAGCCACCAGACCCGCATGCCAAGCAGTAAGCGGCGCCTCCTCCCCCAGCGAGACGCGCAGCTCGTGTCGTTGCGGACTCCTGCTGAGCAGCCAGGTGCGCAGCGTCCGCGTCAGATTGAACTCTAGCCAGCCTTTGTAGTGGGCCGTGGTGTTCACAGAACTTAGAATGCGATACACAGGAGGCGCATCTATGCCCGGCTGATGACTGTGAATCGTCCTGTAAACGGAGACAGTCAGATTTTGGCGCTTCTCCAACACGCTGGGCTGCTTGTAGATGCGCAGCGTTGCCTGCATCAGCATAAGGTCTATGGGCACATCTTTCGCGTTGAAGCTGATGTGCATATCCAGCTGGTCAAGCTCGGAGGAGCTGGGCGGGGCACGGCTGGAGAAGGTCAGTATGCTATTGCAGCTGGCCATCTCCTGGCGATCCTCGCGAGTGAGCAGGATGTCATCGTCCAGCGAGCGTTTGTGTCGCTGCTGCAGCACCTCCTGCGGCTCCTGCTCCTCACTGATCTCATTGTAAACTTCCAGCAGAAACTTGGAGGCAGAGTTGTGGAGCTCGGTGGTCTTGGCCATACGTCTGGGTCTGTCACCCAAATCCAGCAAGTCAATCATCTCAAGCTGCTCGGTAAGTGCAGGCTGCACAGGACCATCAACCGTTACGTAGCTCGTGGCCAGGACGACCCTGTGAGAGCAGCAGAGCAATAAGAACCGTAGTAATCGAAGCATTGTTCTCCTTAAGTGGACAATAAGCAACTGAGCCAAGTCCTGGTCAAGGTGCAAATTATATACCTGCGTAGCCAGGTAGCTGGGAATATCATTCCAGTTAGGTAGTGTAGAACTTAAGCCTTTCACCTACCCTAGGGGTATGGATGCAGAATAATCTTTGCCCTTTAGCTAGTCCTAGTTATGCGATGCTCTACGTAATCTAATCTTTTCTCTCGCTCTGTCTCTCTCTCTCTCTTTCAGGTGTATTACAAATCAACAACAGCAGCGAGGAGGATCAGGGAAAATACGAGTGCGTGGCAGAGAACTCGATTGGCACGGAGCACTCGAAGGCAACCAATTTGTATGTAAAGGTTCGTCGCGTCCCGCCTACTTTCTCCCGCCCGCCAGAGCACATAAGTGAGGTGATGCTGGGTTCCAATCTGAATCTATCATGCGTAGCTGTCGGGTCACCCATGCCGCACGTTAAGTGGATGAAGGGTAAAAATTAATCAAATTAAAAAAGAAACTGAGCTAATTTAAGCTCTCTCCATTTATCATATATAGGAGCACAAGATCTGACACCGGAGAACGATATACCCATAGGTCGGAATGTTTTACAGTTAACTAATATACAGGAGAGCGCGAACTTCACCTGCATAGCTGCCTCCTCGCTCGGCCAGATCGATGCAGTATCCGTGGTCAAAGTGCAATGTAAGTAGAAGTTGAAAATTATGCCCCAAATACCCTGTAAGCCAGCACTCCACAAGAACATTTCTTTATAGATAAGTTATGGATTTATGATAAGATTGGTTAAAGTTTAAAGGACAATTTTATGTTTATATTATTGACTGTATTCTCTCTCTTTCACTGTCTCTTTCCCTTTGCGCAGCACTGCCAACGGCGCCGACGGATGTGCAAATATCCGAAGTGACCGCAACGTCGGTGCGTCTGGAGTGGTCGTACAAGGGACCCGAAGATCTGCAGTATTATGTCATTCAGTACAAGCCGAAGAATGCGAATCAAGCCTTCAGCGAGATCAGCGGCATTATAACCATGTACTATGTGGTGCGCGCCCTGAGCCCGTATACGGAGTACGAGTTCTATGTGATAGCTGTTAACAACATTGGGCGTGGTCCGCCCTCGGCGCCAGCGACTTGCACCACGGGTGAGACAAGTGAGTATCCCGCCCGTACCGCAATTTTAACATTACAAGAGATAAACCCACTAACTGTTTTTCCATATTTTCTTCTGTCTACTTCATACATTTTGAACAAACGCTGCCAGGATTTTCAACAACTTGTGTTTGCTTCTTATTTTCGTGTTGAGTTTTTAAATTTTATTTTTTTTTCGTAAATGTTTATGTAAAGTGCAGTACTTACCCGTTTCCCATTATATCTTCTCTTTTACATTTTCTTCTCCTTTCGCTCTCTGCATCATAGGCGATTTCTCATTCGGTGGGACAAGTAAGTATCCTTAGCATTTGCTTCTTCTTCTTCTATGCCAACAAAATTTTACGGCAAAAACAAGTTCAATAACAATTCCTGAGAGGCTTTCACATGACATCAGCCCCCTGTGGCACCGAGCCCCCTCCTTCAACTCAGCCCCCTCTGAACCTCTGCTCTACGAGCGCTCACCTCTTCCACTCGCTTGAAATCAAAGGTAACTGCAATGGTTAAAAACGAAAGCCAGCTGCATACGCAACTGCTCAATCTCACACACACACTCGTCTGATGTATGTGTGTGTGTGTGCTGAGAGGCAGCTGGCTCACGTCGCCTAGTGCCCGCCACCATTCGAAATGTGCTTGGAAACGCATAAACTTTGCATTGTTATGCGTTCATATGAATGCGCATCAATGTCGTTTTCTGCTTGCAAGTGCCTTGCATTTGTATGCGTGTGTGCTCGCATCTATGCATGTGTCTGGGTGTGTATGGGGCGATTTAGCCACGGCAATTGCGCGTAAGCAAGCGGTGCTCACAACTGCGTTCCGCTTGCTGCGCGCCGCTCTTCTCTCAGCTCCTGCTGCTGTTGCTGCTGCTCTTCTTCTAGCCTGTCTCACATTTTTTAGGAATTTGTTGTAGCTCGTCGTATAAAAGTTGAAAACTTTTATTGCCACAATTATGCTTATCGCTTGCCCAGTATCGTTTCGAAATATTATTTCGATGGCGCCGTTTACAGCCAGACCTCAAAGAAGGGAATAGAAAATATAGAAAAACTAGCAAAAAATTTGCTTGAGAATTCAGCAGCAGGTCGCACGCATTAGATATTGACACGTGTCAGTGGCGCTTAGGTAGCAGCTGAGGTGGTCGAATTTACGGTCTGCAAGTGCAACAATCGAGTGCCATAAACACCAGGCAGCTTAAACGGTCACGATGGAAACTACCTGAGTCGTAGCTATACTGGATTACGATGTGATGATTAGAGTTTCGTTTCTTGAATCAAGCTCAAATGTAATGTATGTTATTTGAAGCATGCGTATCTGTTTCTTACCCTAATGAATTACTTCATTAATCCACTCACAAACTCTGTGCTATATAGTAAAATGTTTTCGCATAGCTAAGTTAATCACACACATATTATATACACTATTGTCGATTTTCTATGAATCGCGTCAAAGCCAATTTAATTAATGGCTGCTGTCGGTAACCATGGTCTGTTTTCAGTGACCAATCAGCTATTGCCGCTCTGTAGTTAACTTATTTCTGTGAGCCCAGTATTCGGCGACTCTCTCAATCACTCATCCTCTTCACTCCTTTTAGTACAGTATGCGTATATATGAAAAATGATAAGTGCGAATAGAATGGATGCATATGACTGTAGCTGATCTGCTCATAACGAGGCATCATAAGTGCGAATGAAACAGCTGTATATCGCTGTAGTTAATCTGCTTATAATCATCTGCATATGTAAGCCTATCTACACGCTTTTACAAAATGTTGTGCACTGCCAGCGCTCACCTAATAATATAATTTGTCTGTAGCCGACCTGCTCACTATTATGTTTACTCTTTTCTTTACATCGGCCGACCTGCTCACTATTATGTTTACTCTTTTCTTTACATCGACTGGCAACTCTTGCCTTCCTCCCTCTTTCGCTCATACACAATTTCGTTCACTATTTGTGCTCTGTTAATAACATTGCTGTACACTTAACATTCAAATACTGTTTTTGCATTTTCATACATTTCTGCGCAGATCGATAAACGGCAAACATCGGCTCATCTTCGTCCATTAAATATAAATTCATGTAGCTTTGGCTCTTACATTTCAAGCTGCCCCAAATCATTACCTACTTCCGCTAGGTCATATTGTCATCTATTTTGGTTAATATTGCACAGATTAGAATCAGTAATTTATGCTTTTCATTAATTCTCAACTGAGGCTTTGCCTGGCTGCAGCATATCAGAAACTTGATGATTTTCACGCTAGCCGGAAAGCTGTTGCTGCCTCAATTTGCATCAATTATAAATGTACATGCAGCAGGTACTCAAGAACTTCATCTCTCTCTCTCTTTCTCTCTCGCTCTGTCTGTCTCTTTCGCACTCTCTCTAATCCTTTGATCGATTGTCTGCATTCAAGCTTTTGAAGTGGCTGATGCCTTGTATTGCAATTTAGCTATAATGTATACAACTAATATGGTCTAATACATTTAAGTTTGATGCTCACACACACACGCATGCACCCAGAAGTGTGTTGGCAACTCTTTAACAGCTCCTTTCGTCAAATAATAGGTCATGGGTCCTGCTTCCGATGTCTTTGCATGAGTGACTGTGTGCATACGGGCATGTGGGTGTGTGTGAGTGTGGGTGGCTGCTAAGAATTTAGTGCTGTGTGCTCTAAGCATAAAGCAGTAGGCGTGAGCAGGCATGCAAGGGATACATATTAATGGAGCGTATCCGTATGTAATGTATATGCTCTTAAATGCAGCTTACGTGACGCTCCCGCACACATGGAGCAGAAGGAGCCGCCAGGATAACTGCCAGGGTAACGAGGAAGCCAGCAGCTAGGCATCCAGGCAGCCAGAAGGTGGCGGAGGCAAAGCTATTGCAATTTTTGAGTGCCCCATGTGCTGTGCATGCAAATCTTAGCCTAGACCCGGCAAATGGCAATGGCAGCTCGTTCTATCTATAGCAAACGCGCGCACACACACACACACTTGTGTAACAGATGAGATGGTTGCGATATAAATTGTGGGTAAAACGCTGCAGTGGCACCCCATGTACAAGATATTGCAGTAAAATTGTGAGAATTGGAATTTATTGATTGGCCATTAACCAATTGAGGAGCACAAGAAAAGGAAATGTTACAGCACATATACACACCCACACACCCATACATCCGCTCCCTATCCTACATGGAGCAGCAATTGCAAGGCGAGATCCACTGCTGCTGTTGGCCACTAATTAGTGGAGCCTGGCGTTAGCTGCTGTTCCCTCTACCTATTTCCAATGCCAACCACAACTTCTGCTGCTATTTCAGTTGTTCACCAATTTCACGCCTCGCAAATACATTCCAAACATGTGCGAATGCGGTTACAACCCAGTATACCCAATAAACAGTTGAAATGCATTTCAAGTAAACTTAACTGAAATCGATTGTAGGAATCTGAAATCTAGCGAAAAATGCGCATTATTAATAAACTTTATGTTGGATTTGTGACAATATCCTCTCCTTAAAAAGATTACAGCTGAAATAGCTGAAAATAAAATTATCGCAAAGTATCAGCTTTCCCGTACGGATAGATAGACATATTTTCAGATTGATCATCTGATATATTTATATATTAATACGTCTCCGCTTATATCTTCCGTCCGGTTATTGCGACGTGAATTCTACTAGCCAGTCCAACCTATCTGGCTATAGCGTCTTCCGGTATAACCACAATCCCTTAAAAATACTTATAATCTGATTATTTTGTATATTTAATTCGGCTATGACTATGTAATCATAATGTGCTAGAAACGGAGAAAAGATCCAATATTTATTTTTAAACTTTTTACTTGCACTTACAAGTTTTAATTTGTAAACAGAATTATTACATTAGGCATCGGTAAATTGTGTTGTACTAGATTTTCATTATTATTATCGGTTATACAGACTCAACACCACTAAATAATAAAAGCCTAGGGCAATAGACAGTTTTTGGAAAACCAACTGATTTTTGCTGCAGTTGCTAGGCATTGTATTTTATATCTCGAAAATCAGTTAATGTGTGCGTGTATGTGTGCGTTAAACGTCGAACTATGCCTGTTTTTGCAGCATTGCGTTGCACATTATAAATGCGAAATTCGCACTATAATGCGCCGAGGCAGTGCAGCCCAAAAATATGTTTACTATGGGAGTCCGGCAGACGGACGTGCATTTAGCAGAACTTCATTCCCAGCGATTGTGATGGATGATTGTTTGCGTTATAAAACATTTATCTCTCTCTGTCTCTCTCTCTCTTCCTTCCATTCTCCGGTGCTGCAGCCATGTTGCTGCCTATTTTTGACCTGGCCCTGCATTCGGTTTTAAATCCTGCTGCAAATGCCAAAAATTTCATTTAGCAGAAACGCAGCAATTGGCTGACAGTCTGTCTGCCTGTCTGCTTAGGCTCTGGCATTTTCGTAGTTGTATTTAAACTGCATTTCTAATTGATTAAAACCTATTCGAAAAGTAAATTACTTTAGTTAACATGCCAATTGGATGCGGTATCTCTTAATTATCATGGAATATTCATATTGAATGAACATGAATTAAATTGATATTCATTGGGATTGTCTTTAGATTGTAGACAATTTTCTTGATGGTCTCCCTTCGGATCTGCTTCTCTCTCTCTGTCTTTCTCTCTCATGCATTTTCAGAATTTAGAAGATGAACTTATTTGCTTCTATTATACCCTGAACCCCTTGAAAATGGGAAGGTAGGGTATATTGTTTTTGTGAAAAAGTATGTAACAGGCAGTATGCATCGCAGACCCCAGAAGGTATATAGTGAGCTGAAATCTGGCAGGCATGCGCAGTACGAGTTTATCGTATTTTTTCGATAACTCATCCGATTTTTTCGAGAATAATCGATAATTTTATATTGTTTTTCAGCCTAATTTAAGCACTTTTACACCTTGAGGCTTCAGATTTACTGTATAAATACATTTGATGAATTCGAAGATTTTGTAATTTACAGATTTTGGTTACCACGCCCCCTTTCGCTCTCAATTTTCAAAAAATGTATTTCAAGTACTAGAGACTTGTGCTTTGGAATGTACACACATTGCTCTGATAGTTTCATAAAAATAGTCCCACTATGAAAGAAATTGTACAACTAATAAGCTCTCATAATATTGTCCACACCACAGCGCAGCCCAAGCACAGTCACTGCTTACTGCGCAGTAAGCAGAGCGTGGGCTTATGTGTGCGTGTTCATGAAGGAAGTGGAAAATGATTAGAATATCAGCTTGGAGGGTTCAGGGTATCTCCTAGTCGAGCAGTCTCGACTAAAGCTTTCTTACTTGTTTTTTAAATGTGTTTACAATAATAATAATCCCTTTTTATCTCATACTCTCTTTCTATCTCTCTCTTTCTCTTGTTTGGTGTCTCATTCTTTCACTCTCTACTTATCTCTTTTCAGAAATGGAAAGTGCGCCACGTAATGTGCAAGTGCGGCCGTTGAGCTCCTCAACGATGGTTATTACTTGGGAGCCACCAGAGACGCCCAATGGACAAGTGACCGTAAGTACCTGGCATTGAGTACGCATATTAAACAAGAGAACGAACACAGAGTCCGGCCATAGCTGCACGGCAGACCAAGCCAGGGGTCGACACTTTGTCACGTCGAACGACCAGAGATCCCGGGGCGGCAGGGAAACGGCACGAAATGACGTTAGCCGTGTTTGGCATTAAAACGCAGACAGAGAACAGCCGACAAGCAGGCGGCGGAGCAAGGGGCGCAAGACAAGCGGTTAAATGCAAATGTGCGAATGAAATCAAAGCCACATAGTTAGCCAGTTAGCCAGCAGTTGGCTTGCAGCTTGTAGCTTGTAGCTTGTAGCTTGTAGCTTGTAGTTTGTGTGCCCCAAGTCAGATCCTGGCTGCCTCCTCCTCGCCTTGTCTGGCTGCAGTTTGATCGAGTCAAGTGCTAGGCCGCAATTGTTGTGGTCGGTCTCCATTGCCTCTGTTGCTGCTTCTGCAGCATGGCTCGTGGCACGTCGTGCTGCAGCTGCAGCTGCAAACACTGCTCTCGCCACAAGGCGAAAATTATAAACTACGCAAATCTGAGACCACAAGCCATATTTCATTCGAACCAGCAATTTATGGTCAGCAAAAGGTTCCAAGAGATGCGACTTTTAATTGAGCTATACGTGAAGGTGGTTTTAGAGAACAGTTAACTTGTGGCTAAGTAAGAAGTTTCCTAAGTCATCAGCTCCTCCTTGTTTTCGAGGAACTTCATAGTCTTATGTTTTCATGAAATTAATATTAATAATCCTCTTTGCATCGCTCTCTCTTCCTAAACCACAATCTCTATAGGGCTACAAGGTGTACTACACGACTAACCCGAATCAGCCGGAAGCCTCCTGGAACTCCCAAATGATTGACAATAGCGAATTGACAACGGTCTCGGAATTAACGCCTCATGCCATCTACACAGTCCGTGTGCAGGCGTACACCTCAATGGGAGCCGGTCCTATGTCCACCCCTGTGCAGGTGAAGACACAGCAAGGTGAGTGCCAACAGCCCACGGCCTACGCTCTACGTCCACCATCATGTGGGTGGCAAATCATGTGCAATTAATTGCGAAGTGCGCAGTTAACTTGACTGCTTAAATCAACCTGCATAGATATAGATTACACCAATTATTTAATTAAGACTCGAAATGTGCTCAATGCAGATAATTAATAATTTCTAACAGTCTGGCAACGCTGAGAGCATTAACTAGGCAGAGCCTTCCACTTGTTTGTTTAGCAATGTTTAATTGGCTATCGAGTGGCATGATTTGGTAGTTAACAGATATTATTCGCTGTCAATATGGACTGATTTGCTCTCAACTCGAAGTTAGTTTAGAGAATAAAAGAAAATGTAATTATGTTACTCTATTTAATTTGACAGATGAGGACTATTTTGTATCTGAATTTTGGGATTGTCATGGTTGCTATTATTTATTTAAAGAGATTTCTTACCATCTGGCAACGCATGTTTTAGTGTCTAGCTTATTCTGCATGGCAGACTGCTTTAAATTTAAAATACTTGCTGACTCTGACCACGCTGGAGCAGCAGAATTTTCTTTCTTTCTTCTAGCTGAATGCCAAGTTGATTCCAGATCAAATCCATTTATAACATTTACTTCTACTTACATGATGTGCTTTTATATGTGTGTACGTGCGTGCCTCTGGGTGTGTGTGTTTGTACGTGTGTGTATGCGTGTGTTATGCTTGTGCATTCTGGTGTGCTGCAAATATTCATTAAATTTGACTGCTGAAGCAATTGCATTTGCCATACTTTGATATGCAGCTTTGTGGCTTCCGAGGTCTTCGACTGGCAGCCGGAACGACACACGGTGTGCTAGGGGGCGTGGCAGTCTAATAGTGTGACTCTGAATTTGTTGCATTGCCAGTTGTGTTGCCTAATGCGCTTAGCTTCGTTTTGGGCCAACCTCTCTGACAGTAAGCCCTTCCTACGGCTCCAACTGAGAATTTCCAGCAGAAAATTTACGCAACGTAAATAGATTCCTTTATGTATCAGATGAAAGATTGCAAAAAGAAGATAAATTGAAAACTTTTGAATTTCTTATACCGTTGTTGGATCGGACTACTTAGCATCATGGATTATATTGGTGTAAAATGTATAACGGATCGCCCCTATTTAAATACGATATCTAGTTAGTTATATGCCACCAGGTGGCCTCAGTTAGGTAATCATAATTTGCAGACGGAATAAGCAGTTACCGTTTACGCATTATTCACAAATGAAATGTGGGGAGTCACATGAAATTGTATTACTTTATTAGATCCATGTAAATATGCCAGCAACAAAAAATGGGACTGGTCTTCGTTTTGGCAATGGCCAGGCACGTTTGCATTTCAATATTTGGTTGTAGCAAATAATTCAATCAATTTTGTAGGCTTCAGGTGCGCTACATGTTCATGTGGCTGGCCAGACGGTTTGCATGTCTCCCGAGTGTATCTGAATCATAATATCTGAATGGGCGCATGTTCCCGTATATACATATATAAATAAATGCCGCATTGATTTGTTTGTGTATTTTATTTAATTTCCGTAATTTCCGTTTCATTATTACCGAACCAACCGAAACCGTAACCGAAAACCGAAAACCAAATATGTGCCTACGTGAATGCGAACACATATATAAATATATGTACATATATCTACAATTTGATACATCTATGCGTGTATGTATTTGTATGTAATGTGTTTGTATGCCTCTGTGTGCAGGTGTGCCATCACAACCGAGCAATTTCCGGGCCACTGATATCGGCGAGACCGCAGTCACATTGCAGTGGTCCAAGCCGACTCATTCCAGCGAGAACATTGTGCACTACGAGCTCTACTGGAATGACACATACGCCAATCAGGATCATCACAAGTGAGTTACATGCATACATCTATGAATGTACATGCTTATTAAGGTATCAGATATGCATAACCGAGCTCTACTCCTGCAGGCGAATCTCGAACTCCGAGTCTTACACGCTTGATGGTTTGTATCCCGATACCCTCTACTACATCTGGCTGGCGGCACGTTCGCAGCGCGGCGAGGGCGCAACGACACCGCCCATCCCCGTTCGCACCAAGCAATATGGTAAGTGGCTGAGACTCTTTGATCCTAAGTTAAGCAAGCGGATATCCGCTAAAAAACAGAAACAGAAATAAAACTCAACTAAGCCGTAGTACGAGTTTCTCTAGCTTAAGTACAAATACAAAAATACAAATTTTCAAAAACTCTAAACATAAATTTCGTTCCATTTAACTATAAAAATATACAATATACATAAATATATAACTACTTACATATACATATGTCATATTCGACGCCTATAAATGTAGTTGATTATTCAGTTCAAATAACGTTTATTGATAAAGTATGTGTGCAGGAGCGCGCTCGCGCGTGTGTGTGTGTGTGTGTTCCACTGTGTGTTATGGCATTCGCAAGGATACAGGTAACAATTAAGTGTGTGTGTGAGTGTGTGTACGTATGTGTGTGTGTGTTGTATGTTCTGAGTTGCACTTTTCTGCCTTAATAAGTTATATATTGTATGATATGTGATTGTTTCTAGTTAGCTGCAAGTTTATCTAATATCAATTATCAAATACTTATAGTTCAGTTTATCTACATTCCATATACTTAACACATTTATACATTTATAAACACTAGACTACTCCTAAATACATATACATCCAAGTTATCCTAGCTTAGTTAATACATATAACATACATACAACCAACAGGTTAGTTAGGCATACGAACACCTACATATGTATGTATAAGCCCATGTCTATTCTGATACTGAGTTGCCAAAGGCGGGGCTTATAACAATTAGTAATGCTTCGTCAATAGAACGAGGAATGATGTAATCATTCACAGGCATTGACATCACGAGCAAAATTATCCTTTCTTTTCTCACTTATTATATGATTACGTGATTTATATTTATTTTTATACCCTGAACCCATTGAAAATGGGAAATCAGGGTATAATGGTTTTGTTTTATTTATATTTCTTCTTTTTAAAATCTATAATTAAGTTCTGAAAAGCTAAACATTTGTTCTCCCTCTTTTGAATATAAAAAATTTAATTGCGTGTATTTTTGTGAATTCGACGTCTGATCCAAATGAATTATAAATTCCTTTTAAGTACACTTCGCTCTATTGATGAAGCATAACCTAAAAAAGAACACTAGCCAACACTATAAACAACACCACATCACAAACTTCAGTACAGAAAAAACTAAAAACAAAAAGAAGACCAACAGTAAATTTAAACGAAAGATTATTTTGATTGCAAATGATATTTATACTCAAAAAAACAATGAGATATATAGTATATTATACATATATATTTAAGTTTATATCGAGAATGTGTATTTGTATGTAATTTGATTTCAAGTCTTGATTTATGCAAATTATGGGTAAAAGTGTCTGCATCTCTTGCCTAGCCTTCGCATGCCCAAACTTGAAGGCAACTGCAAAAAGCCACAAACGAAAATATCGAGACAATAAACTTTGTCGCTCTCTTCTGATTTGCACTACCTTTCACTCTTACTCACCCTCTCACTCTGCCTCTCTCTCGCTCACTATCTCTTGCAATTGTAGTTCGTAATTGATTTTGAAATGCGTTTTAATAGAGAACGCACCAAGACAAATGTTTGTCAGAGCTTGAGTACAGCTAAGTATGCCTCAATGCACTACATACAATATTATTATATTAGTTATGCATACATATTGAGATATATATAGCTACATATGTGTATGTGTGTGTGTTTATTCTTTATTTGCATTGCATCACTTTTGGTTTTCATATTTGCACGTTTTGCATACTGTTAGCTTGATTTGGCGCATAATTAAAGTTTAAGTGGTTCCAGTGGTTCTCTGGCTTAACAATTGTTTTGTGGCTGCCGAATAGGGAGTGCGATAGAGAGAGAGAGACTGACTGAGTGAGAAAGAATTAACCAAACGAGATATGAGTTTGGCATGCGGATTACTACTTAGTGGTGCACATTGACTTATTCCTTGCAGTTTGTCATGCACGTTATTTGAAATGGGTTTGCAATTTGGGTTTTTGCTATATATCAATTAGTAGTAGTGATTGCGTTTCAATTAAGCATAACACTGTTATTGCCATGCAAGCTTGAACAATTTTAGTGCACTTGAGATAGCACCGACAATATGCTGAAATGTATATACGTGTATGTATATTTGAATAAATGTTTGTTTCTGGCTTCATGTTCTGGCTATTAGTTTCATGTTTTATGTAAGAAATAAAAACAAATTAAAAACCCACAGCCACATGGTTTATGCAAATTTAATTGTAAATGTGTGCGTGTGTGCGTATGTGTGCGTGCGTGTATGTATGTGACCTGTACAATTAGCTTAAGCTCGCTTTAAATATTTGTATCATCTTCTATAATTTATATAAAATATTCGTAGAGCTTGTTTAGTGCATGCTTTTGCGACTTTAAATTCTATCTATATTATGTCATTCATCTATTATATACTATGAATTTTTCTCAGTGTGTGTAGTTAGTCTTTCAGCTCAAAATCGTTACCAAAAAATATGCACAATTTAAGTTAAGCGAGAAGAAAAACTTCTCCAAAAAAGAAAAGAGAAGCAACGCTATATTATTTGCATAAACCATTGGATCGATCAAAAAGAGTTTTTATGTCTTGTATTTGAGTTTCGAGCTTATGATTTTAATATAACGTCTAACATTATGTCATTTATTTCAACATTATTTTGGTGCTTTTTTTCGTTACATGTTTTTGATTTGAAAACTATTTTCGTTTTGGTTTTAACGCTAATCGCTGAACGCTATGAAACATATCTCTCTGGCTATAACGCAACCAAATTTTCAATGCACAAAAAAAACCAAAAAACAAAAACCACACGTTCCCATCTATATTGTGTAATTAGTACCAGGTGCTCCGCCACGCAATATCACGGCGATAGCGAACAGCTCGACAACGATCGCGCTAAGCTGGCTGCCTCCGCCCGCGGAGCGCTCCAACGGCCGGATCATATACTATAAGGTGCTGTTCGTCGAGGTGGGCCGGGCGGACGACGAGGCGTCCACTCTGACCCTGAACATGACCCAGATTGTGCTTGACGAGCTCAAGCGCTGGACCGAATACAAGATCTGGGTGCTAGCCGGCACCTCTGTAGGCGATGGTCCGCGCTCCCACCCGATCATAACACGCACCCTAGAGGATGGTATGTATGCCAATGACAATCTTACCTATGCGTAAGTCTCTCTAACCCTCTTTCTTTCTTTGTTCACATTTATTATTTATAAGATTCTCATTTACACTTAATTTTCATAATCATATTTTACATTTAATTTATAATATTTTTAGTTTATTTGCATCAAACGTTATCAAACCTAACTAATTAATCAAAAAACGAATTAATTTTTATACGATTTTTGAATTTTGATATCGAGCATCCCCAATGCAGGAGCTGCCGGAAACGCCGCAATGGAGCGTTTTGTTTTTGATTTTCTTTTTGATCAGCAAAGTAAAACTCAAAGTATAACCATATTAGTATGCGTATGTGTATGTGTAACATGACTAGCAATAAATACCAATGCCACATACACATGCCATACTCATCTATCATATATCATATATCGTACATGTGTAAAAAAAAGCTGCAACATTCATTTATTTTTGAATGCAGCTATAATTCATATCCTCTCTTTCTTTGTAGACTCTATATTTATATTTATAGTTGTTTTCAATCCAGTTTTTAATATATTTATGTTTTTATCAAGATAATACATATTGTTATAATTCTCATCTCCTTTCAAATTTTTTCGCAATTATTTCTGTCTCAATCCTAAAGAATTAACTCCACTTTTAACAAAACTCAACTTTGTCTTCTATAGTTTCAAAATGTTCACCTAATATTCTAACGAATACTTCAAAAATATACTTACTTTCATCCCCAACAAATTTATGTTTTCACTTTTTTATATTTCTTAAATGAGCATTCATTTTATCTCAACTACATGTTTTTCCTACAGATTTTTAAGTTAAAAATTAAGTTATTTCCATATTGAGCATTTGATTTGAAGCCCATTTAATCGTTTTTTTTTTTTTTTTTTTTTTTTTTTGCTTACAAATTGAGAATTTGAAAATTTTAAAATTTTATTGGTACTATAAAATTGCATATTTTTTGGCGCAATTTTTGACAACTTTTTGCACTCGTATCTCTATCAAATAAAAATGCAATCGAAACTCTTTTTTAGCACAACTCCTATATTGTGTACTATATGCAAGAACGAATTTTTGTTATTTAATTGAATATCAAATCTGTATTTGCAAATACAAAAAAATAAAAGAAAAAACAAAAACTGAATTGGTTAAATATTATAAATATATATATATACGATACTTTTTTATGATATATTGCATCAACTTTTTGTGGTAATTTGTATAGCACAAAAATAATAAGAGCTCTGTGTTTTTGTAAGCGCACCAGATACTGAATACCTATAAACAAACACTTATCTTAAACAAACATCAATTTTATCTAAACATACACAAATTTATGATTTTCGTGAATTTCGTTGGTTTGTTTGTTGTTGGTTTCTTTTTTTTTTTTTGTTTTTTTTTTTTTGCAAAACGAACCACCAAAAGAGCCGTATAAAATATTAAATAGATTTATTTACATAATTAAATTTATGCAATTATAAATGTAAACAAGTACCCAGCCCGCGATAAATATGCCTAAATACGGCCTAGTTGTGCATAATGAAAGTGTAAGCCTCCTGCCCGATACCCTGCAATACCCTCGATTTCCTCCCGACTCTCTGTGCACAAGCTCTTTTATTGTGGTTTACCTAAGGCAAATAATGCAAAACGTTTTGCTGCATTTATTTACACACACGAACACAAGTATATTTATTATACTCATTCACGAAAGTGAAATGAGCATATTGGTTTTGTGCAATGTCCGTCTTGCTGTCCGACCGTCTATCCGTATGAACGCAGTTTATTTCGGCGCTATTGAAGCTAGAGACTTGAAATTCGGAACACATACTCGTGTATATCTTCGATTTATAAAGTGTTAAAATTAGTGGCGTGGCAAATCGAAGAATGCATTTTCCGATATACCAGAAATCATATTAGTTAAAGAGCTAGAAAGCTGAAATTTGGAATGTAGATTCGCACGTGCGTGCTATGGCGGAAATATCTACACCTGTAGAAAATCGGATAAAACTGTATCTCTAGAGTTTTTAAGCTAAATTAATTACAATTTTGCACGTGAGCTAATGTTATGATTCTATAAAGATTGGTGAAAAAATTATATGTGTACGCCTTTTAGAGGCGTGGCAAATCGGAAGAATACGGACGGACTGACAGACAGGGCTAAATCGTTAAGGCTTGTGAATGAGTATTCCGGAGCCGGTAAAGACCGACTGCAACGTTCTTACTTGTTTTTTGTTGTTTTTAATTGTACCCACACACATATTGTATATATATAAATATATGCTTGTATATATTTATATATTTACATGTTTAATAACTTTTTGCAGCAAATCGTTGCAATATTTTTTGGACTGCTTCTGAGTTTGGTTTTGGTTTTTTGATGTTTGCATTTTCTTTTTTTTTTCAATTGTGGGCAAACCTTTTGCACTTTGAACCCCACGCCCCTTAATATACATATGTGGCTTTTTTCGTTGTTGTTTATCGCTATGCAAATGCGCGAATACATGGCGAAAATCCTTAAATTGATTTTCGCATAAAAATTATTTGATTTTTGTATTTAATTTGTATTCTGTTGACACATTTGATTAAGTTTTATTTGCCATCACCTGCATGTTTGCCGAGTTAACACATTGGCATCTGTTTACCCATACCCTCTCTCACTCCTCGATTATACCTACATCATCTATCCCTCTCCATCTTTATATATTTTTTTCGAGCAGTTAATCTGCCCATTTGTTAAAGCAACAATGTAAAACCGTTTTTTCTCTTGCTCAAACTAATTGTTTATTATTTGTTCTAAGTATAGACTTGACAGCTGAGCCAATAGATTTAACAGTTTATATAGTTTTTGAGCATTTGTGAGAGATAATTAATCTGCAGTGCACACAATGAAAAGCGACAAAATTTGCATGTCAAATAGCGGTAATTGGAACGACGAACAATATATTTTCCGATAACAATACAAAATAATGAGTATAGAATTAAGAGCAGGATAAATAAAAAATGTAGACGAATATGTAACTCTTATTTCTTATGTGAATATTCAAAATTGTAAAGGTATTCTTTTAAGCAAGTCAAGAACTGATTAGAAATACTAAGAAGTGTAAAGTATTTTAGACGTTTGCCTTTTCTAAGAAAGGGAGAACTAATTCTGCTATAATTGGAGCCTAATGCTCAGAAGATAATCAATTTACAGAAGATTACGCAAATAGATAACAAAAATGTAATTTAGAAGCATATATTGATCGTTTTTGAATCGAACTTCAAAATTAATCTTAGCTTAAATGAGGAATCGCTAAGCTTCCTCTGTTTTGATTTATTTTCCATTTCATTTATTTTGCACTCCTCAATCAAGTATATACTATATTTCGAGTTTGCTATTCAACATTGGCAAGTCTAAATACCTTCTAGCTATAACTTGAAACTGAGTTTACATTGTTGCAATCCCACATTTTTTCACACTCTCAATATTTTCCCTCTTTGGTTTACAAACGCTTTTCGCTCTCGCTCATGAACTTGCTTGTTAGCTGATAAGTCGAACTGCTTGTTAAATTAACCATCCTGATTTACCGAGTACCTGTTAAGTTATTTCAACACACAGTTGAGGATCAAGATACAAAGATGATGAGGCAAAGTGTTGGCACTCACTTAGTTTGATTTGATTTGGCTAAGCACAATGAATTGTAATTTTAGTTAATGCTAAGCACCTAGTCAAGTAATCGTAACTAAGTTAACCGTTAAGCACACGGCAATTTACCTGTAAAAGCACTCGAAAAAAAGCAATGGCACACCAAATGCACTCAGCACAAAAAGAATGTGGGTTCAAAGGACATGCACTTGCATAGATATGCTGTAGTCCACACTGGCTACTTTTTCCCATTTAGAGTTGGACGAATCATGATTGTATATTATATTATATTTTATGGCACTGCACCTCAAGCACTTCAACGTGTCTAGTCAGCACATTATTCTTCTGCACAGCTCTCTATTCTCTGTCAGTGTCGTCTACCATACACATGTATATATATAATTTTAATTGTACTCAATTTAGCACAATCAAAGCGGCGTGTGTGTGTGTGTGCGTGTGTGTGTGTGTGCGTGTGCATGTGTGAATATGTATGGTTTCCATTGATATCCCTGCGGCTGCAGCATTTCACAGTTAAAGGATCCGCGCATAAGTATGCTACAGTATTTTGTATACCATTTGTGATGTATTTGTATATGCATATATATGTATATAATATCTATATACATATATATGTATTTATATATATGTGTGTGTGTTTTATTTTCTTAATTTTTGTTTTTTCGCTCACATATTTCGCTCGTTAGCTTCGTTGCGCTTTGCTTTCAATGCGAAATGCAAATAGCACCTGCCCCAAAGCTGGGCACTTGCTACGTTCCTCCCCCGCTCTGTATTTCCCGCCATACCCCCTGCGGTGTCAGTTCCTAATGCAGTCAGCTCGCCTTTTGTGTGTGCTAGAGTAGACTCAAACGCACACATTCAAACACGTTGTATGCAGAACGGAAAAGAACCGAAAAAACTGGATTATAGCATAAGAAGAAGAGAGTTAAGGATATGCTCAGCCTGCATGCGCTGATATTTGTGAGGATATTCGGCTACATCTGAAAAGGCTTGACTCAAAAAAATCGACTATATTTCAAAGAAATCGGTGTCTAAGAAAATATTTGTTTTTCTTTTAATATTTTAGATAACAACCGATGCGATACCATATAAGAAAAAAAATCAAATATTGATTTCAGATCTTTAAAATGATTGCAAACTTAACTAAGACCCTCTATACATTCTTGACAATCTGCCTTCCCCAAATTTATTTACTTTACAGGGTATACAAACCAGTAAGAGCTGTAAAAAATAGCAGTTCAAAAATGTTGTAGCTTAGCCTGGCACTAGCACGTACCTTTATTCCTTCTATTCAGCAGCGCAATAAAATGAAGAACAAAAACATGTATACTTATATAGAGAAGACCTCCTAGCATTTTAATTATTTTATATACTCATATAGTGAGTGTGTTTGGGTATTTGTGAATGCATGAGAAATGACAAGAGAGAGACAAAGCTGATGCAAAGTGATACAGTTGACATAGGTCTCTGCTCTGAGCCCTCAGCCCTCAGCCCTTTATTACTCTTGCCCCACTGTGCAGGAGGACACTAATGAAGCATAATTTAACATTTGTGCCGCGAGACGCATTTGAATAATTTCTAGTATACAGTCGACAAATTTTTAATGAAGTGAACAAGCTCTATATGGAAACTAGAAACTATATACACGTGTAAAAAGAAATTAAATAATTTATGTGAATAGTCTATCCCAATAAGTATATTTAGCTTAGCTTTAAGTCCTAGGCTTGTTTTAAGCTCTACAAAATACCACATCATATTTTTCGACAATTAAATAGAGTATCAAAGCGGGTGTGCCAACAAATATGTACATTTTATATCAAATATTCATACATGTATCAAGTATTTATCCTCCTTTATTTCAACAATCTTTATATCATCAAAGAAATCTCTTTAGTTCCTTCTTCTCACTTAATGTCCCAATAATCCCCCTTTTAATATGCACTAAATACTTTTTGTATACTGTAAACTAAAGAGCTATATCTTATATCTTTTTTCATATATAAACACACTAAAAAATACCAAATATATCTTTGCTTGGCCACTCGCACCTTGCACTCTACTTGCTCTGTTTCGTGCACCTTTTTTTGAATGCAAACTCGAAATGGAAAACTGTATAACAAACATTTTTGAAAACTTTTTTGATGTCTGAATACAAAACTAAAACAAAAAAAAAAAAAAAAAAAAAAAAAAAAAACATAATGCGAAATTTGATTTTTGAACGCAACCCTTTAATGGATGGTGGTTAAATATTAAAAAATACAAATATAAAAATACATTTTAAATCTATTTAGAGAAAAAGAGTGAGTATTTTTTAAATGGTTTGACTATAATGTTTAAGAATGCCCTATACATACATTTATATATCTAAAGTTAAATATTTGAAATTTTCTTTTTGTACTGGTCCCAAATATTGTTGACCAATCACTAAAGAATCGAATCTTTTTTTGTTTTTTGACATGTTTTTTCTATTTCAAACCAAAACACATTTTTAATGCCAAAATGTCAGCGAGGATTTTGCAATAGGGCTCTTGTCTTTTAACTCCAAGAGCCGCCACAAACATCTACTGATCTAATATACACGTACATATGTATATTTACAAAAAATATATATTTTTGATTTTAACTACATGTTTTGCACACAAACAGTAATAAAAAAAACACATATTTTGAATGCCTACATGTTTGTTTTTGGCCAGTCAAAGTCGAGTTGAACAAGAGCTGATCCGATGCTCTGATTCGATCTTGCTTCGATTGTCAAGTTTTTGTGTACATTTTTTGAAACTATTCAATAAGTATTATATACATTAGCAAGGTATCGATGCACTTGTTATTCACTTTTTGTGCACCTTCTACTACTGCGCAACCTGTATTTATTTATTTATTTATATATACCTACCGAAACTATAACTATAACTCTATACCTTACATATAGCACCTAAGCAGCACTTTCTTTAAAACTTTTTACAACTTTACAATTTCGACATAATATATTTTGTTTTTCTAACTGTGATGTGGTGACATGGTTGACTTGGAGCTAAGTTCGTTCTGGTTTTTGTATATTGCTCCTAGGGTCTAAGGCAACCTTAGCACTTAGTGTTTACTGTCTCTAGTTTCATCTATGTCTTACATCTAAGCAACTTAGTCTTAAGAACCCCAAAATCGAACAGTGTCTGTACAATAATCTAAGTTAGCTGCTAAGTAAACTTAAGTATTCGAACAGTTCCATGCAAAGACGTAACTTGTGCTTACCCCAAGCTAATCTATCGTTTCCTCGTCGTCGTCTCTAGTGCCCGGAGATCCGCAGGATGTCAAAGCTACGCCCCTAAACTCAACATCCATACATGTGAGCTGGAAACCGCCACTTGAAAAAGATCGGAATGGCATCATACGCGGCTATCATATCCACGTGCAGGAAATGCGAGATGAGGTGAGTTAGGGTGGCATATGGGGAATAAACTACATTCTCATTTATTGCTCGCACTTAGGGAAAGGGCTTTCTCAACGAACCTTTCAAGTTCGATGTGGTCGACACGCTGGAATACAGTGTGACCGGCCTGCAACCCGACACTAAATACTCGATTCAAGTCGCAGCTCTGACGCGCAAGGGTGACGGCGATCGTAGCACTGCGGTGATTGTAAAAACCCCCGGAGGAGTGCCTGTACGACCGACAGTAAGTCTTAAAATTATGGAACGCGAACCAATAGTCTCCATTGAACTGGAATGGGAACGACCGGCACAAACATACGGCGAACTGCGTGGCTATCGCCTGCGCTGGGGCGTCAAGGATCAACCACTGAAGGAGGAGATGCTCTCCGGACCACAGATGACCAAAAAACGATTCAACGATCTTGAACGCGGCGTAGAGTACGAGTTTCGTGTAGCAGGCAGCAATCATATTGGCATTGGGCAGGAAACAGTCAAGATCTTCCAGACTCCTGAGGGAACACCTGGCGGACCACCGGCGAACATAACCAAACGCTTCCAAACCCCCGATGTGCTTTGCGTCACTTGGGACCCACCAACCCGCGACCATCGCAATGGAATCATCACACGCTATGATGTGCAGTTCCATAAGAAAATCGACCATGGGCTGGGCTCAGAGCGAAATATGACGCAGCGCAAGGCGGTTTTCACCAACCTGGAGGAGAACACCGAGTACGTTTTTCGCGTGCGGGCGTACACGAAACAGGGCGCCGGCCCATTTAGTGAGAAGATGATTATAGGAACGGAGCGGGACATGGGACGAGCTCCAATGTCTGTACAGGCGGTGGCCACCTCCGAGCAGACAGCGGAAATCTGGTGGGAGCCGGTGCCAAGTCGTGGCAAGCTACTAGGCTATAAGATCTTTTACACCATGACGGCCGTCGAGGATCTAGATGATTGGCAAACGAAGACCGTAGGTCTAACCGAATCGGCCGATCTGGTCAATCTAGAGAAGTTTGCCCAATATGCCGTGGCCATCGCGGCCAGGTTTAAGAATGGACTGGGACGTCTTAGTGAGAAGGTTACGGTGCGCATCAAGCCAGAGGATGTCCCACTCAATCTGCGTGCTCACGACGTCAGCACACATTCCATGACTCTCTCCTGGTCACCACCCATACGCCTTAATCCCGTCAACTACAAGATCAGCTTCGATGCGATGAAGGTGTTTGTGGACTCGCAAGGCTTCTCTCAAACACAAAGTGTGCAGAAGCGTGAAATAATTCTAAAGCACTTCGTGAAGACGCACACGATCAACGAGCTGAGCCCTTTTACCACATACAACGTAAATGTGAGCGCCATTCCCTCGGATTACTCCTACAGACCGCCGACGAAGATAACGGTGACCACTCAAATGGCTGCCCCACAGCCCATGGTCAAGCCCGATTTCTACGGCGTGGTAAATGGCGAGGAGATATTGGTTATACTGCCGCAGGCATCCGAGGAGTATGGCCCCATCTCGCACTACTACTTAGTTGTGGTACCCGAGGATAAGTCAAATCTGCACAAGAACCCCGATCAATTCCTCACCGACGATCTGCTGCCCGGTCGTAATAAGCCAGAGCGCCCCAATGCACCATATATAGCTGCTAAGTTTCCACAGCGCTCGATACCCTTCACCTTCCATCTTGGCTCAGGCGATGACTATCACAATTTCACCAATCGGAAGCTGGAGAGAGAGAAGCGCTATCGCATCTTTGTGCGCGCCGTCGTAGATACCCCCCAAAAGCATCTGTATACATCCAGTCCCTTCTCCGAGTTCTTATCACTTGACATGCGCGAGGCGCCGCCCGGCGAACGTCCCCATCGTCCTGACCCCAACTGGCCCTCAGAGCCGGAGGTTTCCGTTAATCGCAACAAAGATGAGCCGGAGATACTGTGGGTGGTGCTACCCCTGATCACTGCCTTTGTTGTCTCAACCACACTGATCGTGCTGTATGTGGTTAAGCGTCGCAGGCAACCCTGCAAAACCCCTGATCAGGCAGCTGTTACGCGTCCTCTGATGGCCGCTGATTTGGGGGCTGGCCCAACGCCCAGCGATCCGGTTGATATGCGCCGACTAAACTTCCAGACGCCTGGCATGATCTCACATCCGCCCATACCCATCTCAGAGTTTGCCAATCACATTGAGAGACTTAAGGCCAATGACAATCAGAAATTCTCGCAGGAGTACGAGAGCATCGAGCCTGGCCAGCAATTCACCTGGGACAATTCCAACTACGAGCACAATAAGTCCAAGAACCGGTATGCCAATGTCACCGCCTACGACCATTCACGTGTCCAGCTGCCCGCCCAGGAGGGCGTCCTCGGCTCGGACTACATCAATGCCAACTACTGTGACGGGTATCGCAAGCATAATGCCTATGTAGCCACCCAGGGACCTTTGCAGGAGACCTTCGCCGATTTCTGGCGCATGTGCTGGGAGCTGAAGACGGCGACGATTGTGATGATGACCCGGCTGGAGGAGCGCACACGCATCAAGTGCGATCAGTATTGGCCCTCCCGTGGAACCGAGACTTACGGCCAGATCTTTGTCACCATCACCGAGACCCAGGAGCTGGCCACCTACAGCATTCGCACGTTCCAACTGTGCCGTCAGGGCTTCAACGATCGCCGCGAGATAAAGCAGCTGCAGTTCACGGCTTGGCCGGATCACGGTGTGCCCGATCATCCTGCTCCCTTCCTGCAGTTCCTGCGTCGCTGTCGCGCCCTCACTCCACCCGAGTCCGGGCCAGTTGTGGTTCACTGCTCAGCGGGTGTGGGTCGCACTGGCTGTTATATTGTCATTGACTCGATGCTAGAGCGGATGAAGCACGAGAAGATCATCGATATCTATGGCCATGTGACATGCTTGCGCGCCCAGCGCAACTACATGGTGCAAACGGAAGACCAGTATATCTTCATTCACGATGCGATCCTGGAAGCCATTATATGTGGATCGACAGAGGTAGCCGCACGCAACTTGCATAGCCATTTGCAGAAGCTGCTCACCACCGAGCCAGGCGAGAGCATTTCGGGGATGGAGGTGGAATTCAAGAAACTCTCGAATGTCAAGATGGACTCCTCCAAATTTGTAACCGCTAACTTGGCCTGCAACAAGCATAAGAATCGTCTAGTTCACATTCTGCCCTATGAATCGAGTCGCGTTTATTTGACGCCCATCCATGGAATCGAGGGCAGCGACTATGTCAATGCCAGTTTTATCGATGGCTACCGGTATCGCTCGGCCTACATTGCGGCTCAGGGACCAGTTCAGGACACCGCCGAGGACTTCTGGCGTATGCTCTGGGAGCACAACTCCACCATAGTTGTTATGTTAACAAAGCTCAAGGAAATGGGCAGGGTTAGCTAAACATGCTGCACTTATATTGGATATAGTCTAATCTGTATTGTCTTTTGCAGGAGAAGTGCTTCCAATATTGGCCTCACGAGCGCTCCGTACGTTATCAGTATTACGTTGTGGATCCCATCGCCGAGTATAATATGCCGCAATACAAACTGCGAGAGTTTAAGGTAGGTCATACCATTTCACATTTCCTATACCTATATCTCTCTATATCTTCCTCCCGGTTTACCCCCAGGTTACCGACGCTCGTGATGGTTCTTCCCGCACCGTTCGCCAGTTCCAGTTCATAGACTGGCCAGAGCAGGGTGTTCCAAAGTCTGGCGAGGGCTTCATCGATTTCATCGGGCAGGTCCACAAGACCAAAGAGCAATTCGGGCAAGATGGTCCCATCACGGTCCACTGCTCAGCCGGCGTGGGCCGCACGGGCGTCTTTATCACACTCAGCATTGTGCTCGAGCGCATGCAATACGAAGGTGTGCTCGATGTTTTCCAAACGGTGCGCATTTTGCGATCTCAGCGACCCGCCATGGTGCAGACGGAAGTGAGTAGCCCCAAATGGTGCCGGAGATCGGCATATCTCAGCTCTATCTTGGCACAGAATATTTTGAGAATATGATGACTGAAACTAATTTCTTTTTTGCAGGATCAATATCACTTTTGCTATCGCGCTGCCTTAGAGTACTTGGGCTCGTTCGACAACTATGCAAACTGAAGAACCAAGCAGAAGCTGAAACAGTAGCAGGAAAATAAGTAGGAGCTGGAGTTAAAGTCCGGGCTACAGAGCAGAAACAACAGTGTCAACTCCATGTTCATGTTAAATGTTGCATGTTCGTTGTTTTCAATTGTACGCATAAATACGCATTTACGATAAACACGGATACCTTAACTTTAAAGTATTATAGCCAGATACTGCCCACAAATTACTTACCTAAGTACTATGCATAGTGCGAGGGTAGTCTGAGGCATTTCCGATCTTAAGATAGGAGGGTAGTAAAATAAAATGTTATTTAAATGAATAGAATATAGAATCGGAAAAGTTTTCATAGGACCCTCACTTATATAAATTTTAATACCTATTTCATGAAACCTATTTTTGATTAGTTTTTAGCACCTCTTATCGCTCCCGGCTTTTGATTTTGTTATAAAATGGAAACTCAAGAAGACTGTTAAAAGTTTAATTATCAGTAATTTATACTTACTGCATATATGTATATCCCTACACATCCAGATATATACATATATATGTATATCTTGTGTGTGCATACAGTTTTTGCTCGAACTAATCAAAGTAGTCAATCAACTTGTTGTGGTGCAGCGGGGCAGCCCGCTCGCTGATTAACTTATACATATTTGAACTAAGGACTTGGTAGCTTTTAAACCCTTACCGCCTAAACGAATCTCAAGAAAAGAAACGATAAATTGAATGACAAGAAATGAAAACAACCTAAGTTGAAAGTCGGCTAGAGCCGAAGGTAGAGCAATGTAGTCCGAAATCCAATCATCATAACATTTATATATACATATAGTATATATATTTACATGTATTTGTGTCTGTGTGTACAACAATCAAATATGTTTCATATGTTTTTATACTTGACATACTTAAACAGTCCGCTACTATATTTATATGAAGCAAAGGAAATGTAAACCGTGCAATTAGTAAAAAGTCTTGCGTAGTGCATATCTGTTAGGACGCCTAGTTTAAATTAGTTTAAAGATTAACTTTAATTAGCGGGTAACTTTCCTCCTTTCTGACATTCCCCATCTGCAGCTATATAGCTAAAGAGCGCTATTTGTCAAATAGTAACGATCAAAACCCTATGTCTTTGTACTTTATAAATGTGTTTTAATTTTATTTGATTGATTTATATAAATTTTATTTAATAAGTGCATTTGAATGTTCATTTGATATTCCAACCCTATTCTAATCATAGGTGCATCCTTTTTAAATTCCTTTTATAATTATATTCCTGTATATACCGCAAAACCCTGCAGCTATATCTGTCTAAGTAAATAGGATCCTACAGCTAGAAATTATGGTACCTAACGTATATGAACGAGGCAGCATAGAGAATACACCCAGCCTATTAAAGGGATAGACGAGTAATAAGATAACTGTAGATATATATTGTAGAATACTTAACATATATAAATCGCAAAATACGTCTATATATTAATATAAATCGCACCCTATTTATATCTACTATAAAGCTACATCCGCATGGCATTATGAACTAAGAACTATTACGGTGTATATACATATTTGATATGCTGCTCAGTCGGCCGAAGTATTTATATACGGAATCGTTAGCAAGCCAATACATAAAAGCAAAGCAAAATTAAGTATTAGACAACTATTTAGCCACATGTTAAAGAACAATAGAGGTAATACGTATGTACACAACAGAGATATACACGTAAATATGAACGCATTGTGCATAATGCATTATATACATAACTACACTAGCATACTCTCATAAGTAACTGTTATACAACAAATTTAGCTCGTGGCCCACTAAAGTATTGGAGGATCTAGGAAATTGACAAGTTGGCGAAATGCCAGCACTCGAAAAGTAAATTAATATTTGGAGTATATATAAAGTGAAATAAAGTAAATACAAATTATAGCATGTATGATTAGGAACAATAGATGTCTAATAGATAATGGTTATCACACCACAGCGTTGCGAGCATATTTAGCATACTTCTATATAAATGCATTACAAAAATTTATATTGTATATTACAAGAAAATTGGTCGGCTTGTCAAGTTTTGTTAATATTATATTAAATTGTTTAATATATAAAAATATATACATACATGCATACATATATTTTACCAATTAGTCAGAAATAAAACAATTTTAACGATATACACAGAAAAGCCCTAAAAATTAATCAAGCTAGAGTCAAGCAATTGTATTGCATACAAAGCAACCTTTATGTAAGAAACACATGATGTTAAACCTTATCATATGACTATATGTATCAGATATATAATATATATATAATTTTCGAATGCGGAAAAATCCATGAACATGAATATTAAAAGACGAAATAAAAATACATATTACGAAAAAAGAAAAACTTCATGTCAATTCTTTACAGCAAAAATACCTGATATATTATTGTTTTGTTTTGTTTTCTCCATAAAATGTAAAGATTACTTGTCAAATGTTGGAATCATAGATCGAAAACTCCGGCAGAAATTACTTGTTCTCTGAATAGTACTTACGAGTCAAATACTATAATAATTTCTCACAGAAGTATCAAAAAATCTTATAATTTACATATGTGCATATGAGAATCAGTTTCAAATTTTAACGTTCTATTTTGGCACTACTACTATTCATGAACCAATATAAAATTCGTATTCGAACATATAATTACTGATGTACGATTAATGTACACTATTCGGCATAATAAACACAATTTTTGTAAAAGAATTTTGCTTGTTAATACTTTAAAATAATAGTTCTTAACAAAAATCGAGCTTTACATAATCGAAATTGATAGTCTTCAGATTCGAGTTCCAGAAATGCCAAAAATATTGATACGCGAAAAAAAACCTCGGGCTCTTCAACTGATTTAATTATCGACTTTACATCATAAAAGACGTACAACTTCATTAGACAGCGACCTTTATGATGTCTAACTCGTTTCTAAAGATTTGCCGAAAAAAAATGGTCTGATCAGAGGTATCCATTGCTTTATTTCAAGTATCAGCGAAATTATGGATTCTGCTATACTTCCATGCGTTATGTATGAACCTGGTTATGCAATTCAGACGCTTCTTCGACAAAAATGCCGACAGGATAAACTGTATTTTCCATAACCTGTCTTGAACGAAAAGTTATTTAAGTAACATTTTCTGTCATAGGCAGTCATTCTTAAATGAAGCTAGTTTTTGTTCCATCGTCGTTGAGACTTGTGCTTTGGCATATAGTTCAGCAACAAAAAAGTTATTAAGCAATTAGGTTTACATAGTAAGCACTCATACATAGTAAGACAATGCGTGTTTATGCTTGCATTCCTATGTTCTTCTGTGTGAGAGTGTTTGTGTCTCTTGTGTAAGCAGAAAGAGTGAAGAATTATTACGAAATACATGTCAATTCTTAGAAAGGTTCAGGAGATATTGTAGGCGAGCAGTCTCGACTAGAGCTTACTTACTTGTTTGCAATGTTTCAGTTTACTTCCTCGTATCTTGGCAGTTACGTTGCTAGATTCCATCCCCTAGCTCGAAATTAAGATTTCCAGCCTGTACCCACATGAGCATTATCTAACAATAACTTTTACAGAATATACATATATGTAATGCGTTTGTTCCGTGTCGGAAAATTGTGTTTCATATAAAAATATAGTTTTTTGATACATATTGTGGATCCGGACGGCCCCCGAAAATTCCTGACAAGATTACTAAATATAGCAAAATAAACTTCACAATTAGGCTGATATGCAAACTGGCACGCCGAGTTAACAGATCAGAATACTTTATTGAAAATGGGTTTTGCTTCACATCCAAGAAATGTGAAAGTATTTTAATACCCTCAACTGGGGTAGATAATATTACTTTTGTGATTTCTCTACGAAAAAATTACAATGTTCAAAATATATAGATTACAGATAAAGCGAAATCAATAAAAAAAAAGAAATATCTTAATGCGTTAACTTGACTTAGACTCTTTAGTAACAGAGGCCTGCTTAATCTCGGAAATGATATTTATTGGATCCTCGCTGCGCAAATAACCATTGTGCTCGGGATGGGATTCGAAAACCACCTCGCCGCGTATCACACGCACACGTGGACCGTGCGCACGAGCCGTGAACTTAACTTTGCCGCACGTATCTGGGCGTAGCCGGCGATGTGCGCGCAAGCCACTGACCACTACAAAATTCTTATCACATCCATAGCACTTGTAGCGCTTCATACCAATGTGACGTGATAGATGCGAGATCAGCGTCTCCCGATGTGTGAAATCCAGCGAACAGACCTGCAGAAAAGAACATTATCGGAAGATATAGTAAAATATCAGTTAACGAACAGCTTAATTATTAGGATACGAAAAATCATAGCCTAGCAGTATATGTGCTACTACATTGATTATTAATACGCTATAATCGAGATTGATATCAATACTCAAAAGTCAGCTTCTGCTTGAAGAGAATCGTAGATATTTCATTGTATACATCAGCATTCTTACCTTGCATTTGAATGGTTTTTCACCCGTATGCCTGCGTTGATGGACGCGTACCTGACCGGGCGTCCGAAAGCGTTTCTCACAGAAGTTGCATTTATGCGGCAGCTCGCCGGTGTGAATCATCTTATGAATGCGCAAGGCGCCTACTGTGGTAAAGCATTTGGCGCAATCGTCGCATTGATACTGAGCGGGACGAACGATGGGTCCTGGTCGTGCTGACTTAGCAGAGATGGGTGGAAAAGAAGAATCTTCAGAAGATGGCTTTAGACATGATACGGCAGGAGCAGCCACTGCTGGGTAGTTGACAGGAGCGGATGCGGATACTGGAGCGGATGCTTCTGGTGCAACAGAATATGCTTTCACAGCTGCTGCTACTTTTTCATGTGATGCTGCGGCTTCCGCAACAGGCGTCGATGTAGTACTTGTAGCTTGCAAGTTCTTAGACTCATTCGATTCTAAAAGAATATAATTTATTATTCAAAACCTTAAAGTGACAAAAGCAACTTGTACTCACTCTTATACATTTTTACTTCCACCTCTATCTGTTCAAACTCCGCGTCCGCAATGCCATGCACCTGCGTCAAGTGATTGCAGAATGCCAAATATAGTTCATAGCAACGCGCACATTTTGGACACTCCCAGTGGAAACGATGATTAGGATAGGTGAAACGCAACTGGCGGACTTTCGAGTGGCTCTCTTTGGTGAGCGGCATCCTAAGCACCTCCAATTCCGTTTGCGCCACCGGTTTATTGTTTTTCTTTGGCATTTGCAGGACGCTCCCGGGCATCGGAAGTGTTTCCTCTATGCTGCGTATTTGATTCTGGAACTCAGCGATGATCTTGCGAGATTCGGGCAGGCTCTCAAACAAACTTAAGGCATTGAAGTAGGCATTGCGATTCAACGGGGGCTTTTGTGATGCACCTGCACTAGGTGCCTTTGCAACGGCTGGGCTACTGCTCGGCTGTGAAGCCGAACTTATCGACATGGCACTTGGCGGTGTTACAGCTTTGCTGCCTGTGGAGCAATTAGTTGTGCTTGCGCTGCCCGAGCTAGGCGATATCTTGACGATTTTTGTATTTGGTGGCAATTTGAACAGCATACAGTTGCTGGGAAGCACCTTCAAGATGTTACCTGCTATGTGGGGCTTATCCTTTACGGGTTGTACGACTTTAGGTTGATTTACGGAGCCTTTTCTTGCAGTCAAAATGTTAGTCAACAGCTTTGGCTCAGAGATGGATAATTGTACGGACTTCAATTGGTCAGATGGTACAACTGCAAATGAGGAATTAATAATGATTAATTCATTTTGTGCGATATTTCTTGTAGTTTTGAAGCTCGGCTTACGTTGTATGGTTGGAAACATGGGAGTTTTAGCAGTTTGCACGTTCACAGGTTTCTTTATGGCTGGCAGGCGCAATTTGCCGCGCAATTTTCCTGCTAGACTGTTATCACTTGCCCAGCTTGGCTCACGGTCAGACTTTGACTCTTCTTCTTTTTCTTCTTTAATCTGTGGTTCTGTTTTGATAAGGACATCAGACATTTCTACGTCCTGCTCTGTTTGCTCATCTGCTGCATCCAACGGTTCTGTTTTGATTTGGACGTCGAAGCTTGTGTCCAACTTATTAACCGCCACTAGTTGACCCAAATTAGCATGCATATCTGCATACTCCACTTGTCCGCATAGCTCCTTGCTGTGCTGCCAATGCAGCTGCAGACCCGGATTCGTCTCAAAGTGCCTGCGACATATTGCGCAAACAAAGCGGCGAACAAAATAGTGACTGCTTAGGTGCTTAGCCAGGCTGGCAGCATCGCTACATTCCAACAGACAAATCTGAAAGGATTCATACTTATTAAATAAACCTGAAAATGTTACTTTCTTCAAATACTTTCAATATTTATGCAAAAGACTCAATGAATCATTTTTCAATAAAGATCAAATCGTTAATTATGCAACAATGTAATGCATTTTTGTGATCCTATTAATTAGATATTTATAAAATTTAAATATTTTCAACCCAAATCGTTAAATGTGTATTAGCAATATAATTAATGTATGTAATCCGAAGAGAAGTTGGCAGAGCAACAGACACACGGACCATTCTTTAGATCGTGAATTTATCCATAATTAATTCTTGAAATATATTTTGGCAATCGAAAAAAGAACTGCATTATCTAACACAAATACATACATATATTTCTGCTTTGGCACTGCGTATGTATGTATAATTTTATTATAATTCATAGGAAATGTCGTTAATTATATCATACATATAAGGCACAAAAGTGTTGAGCGTAAACTTGGACACTTCTTACTTTTATCACTATTATTAATATAATTTTGTTTTCAATACAACATTACATTACCCTGCAGTTAGATCCACTAATACCGCCCGCATGCTGACGAAATTCATGCTCCAGAATTTCCTCCAACATGTCGCACCAAACTCCACAGCCATAACAGCAAAAATGTCGATTTAACTGGTGGTTGATCTGATGCGAGGCCAGCGCCAGACGATTTTCACACCTATAACTGCAAATGTTGCATGCAAGTGTGCTATCATTTTCACAGGATGATGTCACAAATAACTGTAATGTAGAAGAGAACTTAAAAGCATGTTCGTATGTGTTCGTGTGCTAAGGTTAGGGCCTGCCTTGTGCTGCTGATCGAGCGTGCGGAGACTCTCAATAAACTTTTGCTCGTCCTCGGATTTGTAGTCATGCACTGGCACCGTTATCATATTAGGCTTCTCCTCTATGATATTAATAAAGCGGGTCGCTGCAAAGTATAAGAAAATTTAACACAAATACATTTATTATGACAAAGCTAACGGTATAGTGCGTAGTAAAAATAGACACAACACATGCAAAATTACAACCATGCGCACGCATACAAACACACATACTCATACAATATCATACTGCATATGCAAAAACGGACAATATTTACCACACGGCAGCTCCAACTGGGGTGCATCTTCATCTAACTCAAGCTTTATCTTGGTATCATCAATAACAAGCTCCTCTTTTTTTATCACAATTTGTTCCTGCATCGCTTTGTGGCGTAGAAAAAGTGCGCAAAAAAAAGTACCGCTGCGATCAGTAGCTGCTATCGACTGCTCTTTGAAAGAATATCGAATACACAACGCTTGGCTTGCGATATATGTACATTGCTTAGAATTAACGATAGCTTCATATCGATAGCTTATCACCCCTACGATATTGTACACTGAACTGTAACAGCACGAGAAATACTGCTAGAAAAAAAGAAAAACACAAAAAGCAAACAAATGGTTTATTTTTAAATTGCAAATTACTTAAAGATTAATAGAATTAGCATTTATTAATGTACATTAGTGAACTAAACAACAAGGGACCCACTTACCAAAATTGATATATAAATTGGGATAATAAATGGTATAATTATTGGCGAGCATAAACAAAAATTAAGATGAGCAATAGCGAGGACTCACAACAATATCTAAATGATATGATGGTCAAAGAAGAGGATGAGGCATCGGGAGGTGAGCAGTCAATCAATTATATATATAGTTCGCTTAATAAATTTATGTTGCTGCAGACGAATCAGACAGACATGATGGACACGGCATCATGCTGCGTGAACAGGATCGTTTTTTGCCCATTTGCAATATTATTAAAATAATGAAGGTGCCCGTACCGCAAAATGGCAAAATAGCCAAGGATGCCCGAGAGTGCATACAGGAGTGTGTCTCCGAATTCATATCCTTCATCAGCAGCGAGGCCATCGAGCGCAGTGTCGCAGAAAATCGAAAAACGGTGAATGGTGACGATTTACTGGTGGCATTCAGCAATTTGGGCTTCGATAACTACGTAGAGCCTCTCTCCATTTACTTGCAAAAATATCGCGAGGTAAGTCCGTGGCTTACCCTTATGGAAGATATAATATTTATGCATATTTGATTGTCTTCTCTTTTCCACCTAGTCAAACAAATCGGATCGCAATTTATTTTTGGACAGCAGCTATATGCAAAGCGAGGATGCCAGTGAGTCGGGGAAGCAGTAGCATCCTAAATTATGGGTGTTTTATTTATTCAAACTTAAGATATAATGTTTTAAAAGGTAGTCTGAATTAAAATTTTTTTCTCCCATTTATATTCGCATTAATTTCGGAATTCTTACGCTATTCGCATGTCAACTTCGGAATAGGTCTATTCCATTTCACGATACACCCATGTCTCAAATCTTCAGCTTCAATATGAGTATATTTTAAGACACGATTTCTTTTCTTTCCTACCTTGCTCCAGACTTGACGGCCAGATGTGTAAGCTATCGTCTTATAGATCTATTTACATCAAGCTCGAGAACTGACAAGCTTTGTCACTCTTGAAGACATTTAAAGTTGGTATATATTTCGCATGTTTGATTGAAGTCAGCCACGCGACGATAGATTAAAAATTGTCTATATATATATATATATATATATATATATATATATATAGTTTCTATTATGTAATGTATTGTATATAAGGTCAAAATCAAGTGTAATTTGTATGGCAAGTTTCTTAGTAATATAAGAGTTTCATTTATTATGTATATTTTATAAGACACCAAGTACTTTTGTATATGCTACAGGTTTACATATATATATTTATATATATATGTTTATTTGATATTAAAAAGAGTACGATAGGTTGATAGTCATATTGTTTGATGCAATCCTTAAGGAGATAGTTTAGTTTTAGCTGCCAGTAGAGACGGAAACATTGTAGCTGTTGATCATTTCCACTGGTCAATACTAACATTTAATATTTAAGGATATATCCCTCACAGTTATCTTTTAGCCTTTAGGGTATGAAGAGCTGTGATTTACTTATTACAATAATACTACAATAATAGTAAAACAATTTAAAAATGTAATTAAATAAAATACTAAACAAGGAACATTGTGTCTATGTAAAAGTTAAATCATATGGCCATAAGGTTTTAAAATCACTCGATTACCAATTAGACGACTATATTATGTATGTAAAACATATATATGTGGATTAGCTAGTCCGTTACATTACGATTAGGAGTGGAAAGGGCGTTTGGTTTCTACTTAAGATTAGTTTGGGGAGACGTGGTACTTCTTTCATAAATACATTGATAGAGATACTTAGTGATTAAATATATATATTAAATATTTTTAAATTATTTGAGACTAACACTAAGTTAAAATGAAGTGGCTTATAGACATTGGGATGTTTAACTTCTACTCCAAACAACTAAGAGCAATCTACTCGGAGATTCCGGACTATTAGATAGACATCCTAAATTCCACTACGAGCTGTTTTTAAGCACCGTTCGGATTGTACCCAAATTGTTCCAAAAGTAAAATATTAAAAACAAGTAAGAAAGCTCTAGTCGAGACTGCTCGACTACGAGATCCCCTGAACCCAACAAGCAACTGATATTTCAATAATAATTGGCACACCCACACGCACTCATACAAACAAATACACACACACATACATACAAACAAACACACGCGCACATACACACTCGCGATTGCGCTTGGGTTGTGCTGCAATGTTGGCAATATAAAGAGAACTTATTTGTTGAATAACTTAAATTCTAGACGTACGATCGTAATGAAACATTCAGAACGTAATCATAATGTTAAAATG